TCCGAAAGGACCTACCGTTGGCAGACCGTGTTAAAAGACGGGAAGCCGAGAAAGAATTACAACTTAGGTTAGACGCTGGCTAAAAGGACCTGAAAATTGTAAATTTTCGGGTTGTAAGACTTCGACAGAGAATGATGCCGAAGCCACTCTGGGTGAAGCACGAAGGCACTTAAACAGGCTTCGGATCTGTTACACCAATGCACGAAGCTTACTTGATAAGCGATCGGAACTAGGTGTACAGATTGACTCTACAAAGCCAGACATAATCGCAGTAACAGAAACCTGGCTGACACAGGCTATAGATAGTATGGAACTTGATTTCGTGGGTTTTACGTTAGTAAGGGCCGACAGAACACAAAAGCGCAAAGGAAGGGGAGTAGCTCTATTCATTAGGAATGCTATCCCATTTACCATTATCGATAGTGTATTCCATGAGAGTAGGACGTGTGAATTAGTTAGTTGCCGCTTGAAATGCAAGGGACAAGAGCTACTGATTGGTTTGGTCTATCGCAGTCCAAGCTGTGAGGCAAATGAGATCCTGTTAAGCAGTCTCAATACTTGGTCCCAAAGTGGTCGATGTCTAATCCTAGGGGACTTCAATGCACCTATGGTAGACTGGGAAAATCTGCGAACTAAATCGTCAGAGAATTCTTTCGAGCAGGAACTAGTTGATGGGGTTATCACATGTGCTCTAGTGCAACATGTGAAAGAAGCGACAAGGTACGATCCAGACACTGAATCATCCTTATTAGATCTTATACTGACTCACTCCAGCATATGTCACCCCTAGGTAAAAGTGACCACGCAGTTTTAACTTTCGACTTCCATATAACTGCCAGTCATGAGGACGCGTCAGTCCAGTCCAGACCCAACGTCTGGAAAGCAAACATACCAGACATCATGCACTCAGCATCGTTAATAGATTGGGCAATAGACCCAGAGTCCTCCATTGAAACGGCCTGGGACGCATTTCGAAAATCATACTTAAAAGTTACCACACCTCACATCTTTTGGACTATACCAAGGGGGCCGAAAAACTCACTACCATGGTTCAGTAGGGAGGTCCGTATCCTTCTCCGTAAGAAAAGGAAAGTGTGGGATAGATTTAGGTTACTGGGGACTGATGAGTCAAAATCTCAGTATCGAAAGGCTCGGAACACTTGTGCCTCGACCCTCCGTAAGTCTAGAAAACTGTACGAAGGAAAACTTGTTAAGGAATCCATAGAATGTCCTAAACGCTTGTATTCCTATATAAACCAAAGGACAAGGAGAAAAGAAAATATTCGTGCTCTATGGGGAGACATTACTGCTTCATCATTAGTGGAGGACGACTTTGGTAAGGCTCAAGTGTTCTCGAACTATTTTAGCAACGTATATACCGTAGAAGCGCCCTTCCCGTCAGCGTATACAGATCCCCTCATACATACACTGGATAGCGTGACTATTAAAGAACTCGATGTCTTTGGTCTGCTAAATAAGCTTGACATAGGTAAATCCACGGGGCCCGATGAATTACATCCTAGGCTACTGAAGGAATTATCTAACTTCGTTGCAAGCCCTTTAAGTACATGCTTTAACCTATCCGTTACGCAGGGTTGTTCACCGAAAGACTGGAAAAACGCCATAGTAAGTCCTGTCTTCAAAACAGGCACGAAACACAAACCTGAGAACTACCGCCCCGTTAGCCTAACTAGTGTGGTTGTTAAAATCTTAGAAAAGATTATTCGGAAGGGGCTGTTTAAGTATCTCGATAAAAACCGGATCCTCTCGGAGAAGCAGCACGGTTTCAGAATAGGTTATTCTTGTCTCACTAACTTGTTAGTGGCTCGTGAAAGCTGATGCGCTCTTAAGGACCAAAAGCTACCTGTAGACATCGCCTTCATTGATTTCAGTAAAGCTTTTGACAAAGTGCCACACAACCGGCTGTTATATAAGTTAAGGAAAGTCGGGTTTGGAGGCAATTTATTGATGTGGATAAAAGACTTCTTAGTTGGGCGTCAACAAAGAGTAAGGGTGAACTCAAAGTTATCTAGCTGGGAAACTGTGCTTAGTGGAGTGCCCCAGGGTACAGTTTTGGGGCCAGTGCTAGTCCTCTTGTATGTAAATGACCTTCCTTGTCTCCTATCATCATCGGTCTTGCTATATGCTGACGATGTCAAGACATGGAAAACGATACGATGTAAGAGTGATAGCTTAGAACTTCAAAATGACCTGAAGAAGTTATCTGAATGGTCTCAAACATGGCAGATGCCGATAAATACGTCCAAGTGTGTTGTGATGCATATCGGTCATCAAGGCACAGATACATACACGATGAATAACAATGAGCTACCTGTCGTCCAGACATATAATGACTTAGGAGTTATCGTTAGTCAAGACTTAAAGACTACTGCACACTGCCGTGCAATAGCCGCCAAAGGTTTTAGAACGTCATGGTCAATACGTAGGGCTTTTATTCATGTCAACGCTAAAACGTTTTTGACTTTGTATACAGTGTTCGTTCGTCCTAAACTTGAGTACTGCATACAAGCGGCTAGCCCCTGCTTTAAAAAAGACAGTGAGCTTCTGGAAAAGGTTCAGAGAACGGCGACTAAGCTGATTCCCGGAATAGCGAAGCTTCCGTATGAATCTCGACTGGCCAAGCTGAACCTTTTCCCGTTGTCATATCGCAGAACTAGAGGCGACTTGATTACAGTCTACAAACTGCTTAGTGATAAATTTGCACCTGATATGCCCTCATTTTTCTTGTCTTCCAAAACAGAGAATTTACGAGGACACTCCAAAAATGTTCATAAGCCGAGAACAGATTACTTGTCAGCTGACTATCGACTTTCCCATCGAATCATCAACGAGTGGAATTCACTACCTCAGCACGTGGTTGAAGCTCCATCCGTCGACTCTTTCAAAAGAAAGTTGGATCAACTGAGAGACCATCATTCCCAGGACTAACATAGGCCACCGAGCCTCCTGTCCTTCCCAAACTGTAAACTGTAAAACAGGTTGCGAGGTCTGGAAACCAAAAATCTTCAACATAAAAGTCCTTTCACATGGATATACTATACTATTCTATATGTTATTAGCGGAGAGTAGAACGGATGACTTTTCTGCAGTTGGTGATTCATTTACATAAAGTAAAAAGAGAAGAGGATCAAGGATTGTACCTTGGGTAACTCCACTTTTTACAGGATCAATCTGTAAAGAACTACAAGTCATTCAAATACATGACAGAGAAGTAATCATTTCAATCCAAGTTTTCATCATAAATAGGAATTAGGAGCAGTTTCCTAAGAACAAACTGTTAGCTAACTCTCTAATGTAAAGCTTATGGTTTGAAGTTACGTCCTAGTCCGGGCGCGGTGTTCGCCTGTTGTGTTGCTGCGTGTCTACTTCAAGGTTGGTTTTATGCTGACTCTGAATCAAGATGCCTCACCATTTAAATATTCAAAACAATTTAATGTGAACCAGCAAGTTGACATCTTAAAGTGAATTAGACATAAACTGCATAATCTAACCCAAAGTTATATAACTTAACATGGTATGCTTGTCACCTAAATTTCTCTGAAGTTTCTTGAGTGTATTACGTAAAATGTACTCAATAGATGTGTTGTGATGGTCTATATAACCTCTCTATACAGACTTTTCGGGCTTAAACGATATCCTACAAGTCTCCAAGTCTAGCCAATAATTACAACAGTTGTATGCGTTCGGATAAAGCAAAACTCAAAGAGTAAGAAGCGCTTTAGTTAAATGAGTTTCAGCAGGTGGACTTGAATTAGAGGGAACACAACTAGCTGTTACTAGGCATTTTTACTCAGCTAAGATGGAGTTTGTGCCCATAGTTTTCATTAAGACACAATAGTAAAGATACAAATTCTGTTGACTCCTGAATGGGAAAGTAAAGACATGGGACTAGTTTGTAAAGCTACTAGGTGTTTGGTTGGCCTGTATTAGAAGAAAACCTAGATCCTCTCCTACATTTTACCATTTAATATCATATTTAAGCACGTTTTCGCGTGAGACCATATTTTATGGACGACCTTCGAGTGACGCGTAACTGATTTTGGGGGTAAATGAAGGGTAAAATGAAGACCGTGAATTATTGAGAGGAATTAGGATTTACAATGGACGTTAGAAATTAAAATTACAGCTTTTGCCACGAATTAACGATCTGTACTGCTAACATGTTATTCTGTCATATGGTTGCATGAATTTCACTCCAAGATCTGAGTCCTGCTATTTTAAATCTGATTGGTTCGTCAATAAGTTAGTATCGCCTCTTATAATACAATTTATTTTTCATTTGGCTTAACGGTTCATATACTCAACATCCGAAACAGTTTTAGGAGCTCACTTTAATGTGGAATATCAGTGGTACGTGTGAGGATGAACCAGTAAAAATACCAGTGAAGAATGACTAGTTATTTCCAGGTGGTGGCGTATCATTAGTTTGTTGAGGAGTACCAATAAACCTGATAATCTTCAAGCTTTTAGAGCTCATAAGTGCAAAATACATCTACGTACTTAATAATCAATGCGACATTAGCTTGACTAATACATTTAAATTATAACATTAAGATAAACTTACCACTAAATTTAAACTCAGGTAAACCAGGCAAGATGTAGGCCTGATTGTATATGTGTTGGCTAAATAATTCTGTTACCAAATCCCAGAGGAAGGTTTTTCTTACGAGTTCCATCCTTTATCTATCTACCTAGATCCAGTGGTTCGAATCGAAACAGGTTTGGCATGTTTAAACTAATGTACTGGTGCTTGCGAATCAAATACATGGGAGTTTTAAGTATTCATAAGCAATTCTTGAACAGTTATGGTGAACGTTTCTTTCCGTCAGGAGTTAGCTCAAAATTCAAAGTGATAATTACGTTTTTGACTGGCAATCAATCGACTTTTTACAACGTCTAAATCAAAAGCACTAATACCATACGTTAATTTCGTATTTTTTATTGTATTAGTTCATAATTTTATTTTAACAGGAACTGTAATGACTGAGAACTATGAGTACATGCCGCGAGCGAGGCAGGACCCTGATGTTGAATATCCTTTAACAATTAAGTATTGTGGTGGTTAGTGTTTTTGCTCACGAAATACTTTCATACAGAATGCACTATGCCTCTGGAGTATTGTGAATTTTCACCATTTCCTGAAAAATGTCGAGCATGGTTAGAGAAAAATTTACCTGAAGAGTTTGAACGACTTAATACCGGTACGTTCTCAATTTTCGTCGTACATTTACTTTAAAGATGATGTGGATTCAAATCAAACTGAGGCAACGCCTAAAGGACGTCAAGTTAGGGGTGGAAAAGGAGGACCTAAAAAGCCAGTAAAACAACAAATAGCAGTATTTAAAACTTCCAGAGGCAAGAAAAAATATACGACTAGTGTCACTGGATTGTCCACATTTGGTAGGCTCATGTTTATATTTTATAGTGCACATATATGAGTAGACCATTAAATCTGTGAGGGTATATCGACTTTGTATTTCGGACGCGAACATTAATTTCGTATTTAATTAAACAGTTTCTTATATTTCGGTTTTGTCGATGTGTGCATTGAAAAAGCAATGCTGAATGATATATAATGGTATTACAATCGTGATTTCAGCTATTACAAACACAATGTACAATGTTGGTCAAATGGTGCTGAAACAAGTCGAGACTAATTCAACTAATTTTTCGTAACTGTTGTTAATTTCTAAATTAAACGATACTCGGAGGAATAAGATATTCAGGTTATCAAAGTTAGTGAAATGAAACACTTTCGTCTAGGTGAAGTGTAAGACAATCAGTCAGGCAAAATAACTTAGAACACAACCATTTAACATCAATGAGTACCTGAATGGTTAATGAATATCAAGTGAATTGATAACCTCTAACATAAAGCACATTTTCATTAATTACGATGATAATTCAAAACTTCTTAGCAATAAACTCACAGGTTTTAGTACTTCTAATTTTTCTTTTGTCTTTCGAAATGACATCAGTCAATTAGCCGTTGACGTCACGGATAAGTAGGTATTCCAAAACTGTCGTTCTTAGTTTCGTGGCTATAGTGCTATTCTTGTAATAGGTAAGCTGGTATTTTGCGTCAACATATGAGTACTGTTATAACTTGTGAGTTTGTGTCCCTATCAACGTACAACGTAATGTTACCACCAATTAGAGAGCAATGAATTATCGATAGGACCAATGACGCATAAAACCCGTACGAGCAGTCTAGAGTCCTTATCGGTCTTGCTTCCTGCCTAGCCCAACCTGTTAAGTTTAGAACACCAATCTCAGCCTCTGCGATATGAATTGTTTATTACAAACATACTGGGTTTATATACTAACCGGACAGACCACATCGTATCATGAAATAGAAAATAACATTTGTACAAGATTTAACCAAAAGTAGTTGTGAATGTGGGAGATAGTAACTGATAGACTGGGTATAACTCAAGAATGGTAAATCGTATAATAATAGTTTTGTAAGTACAAATAAAGCTTATAATAAGAGGAACACGAATATGCATCGTTTAGCTTAAAAATAATACAATAAAAATATACATATAGTATTTATCCACAGATGGATCGCAAAAGTTACCATTCATTATTCTCATCAGGATATAACAAGTACAAACTTAAAAACAATGTGTAGTTGTTACCATTTACCTGTTCATTGAAAGAGTTAATATCGTCGGTCAGTACACTGATGTACAGCAAGAGTGATTAAAATACAGTTGCTTTGTTGCTGGCTGATTTAAATATCCCATTTTTAACCACTGGGTTACATGTCTGAAACGTACATATATTTTGGTTTCCGTGATCTTGATAGTACCTCCTAATATTACATTTTGGGTTGGAACTTGTGTAACTGCGCCTAATTGCTTATCCAATCTAGTTACCTGGTCATTTACACATACTCTCACCCCAGGAGTGGTTCTCACTTTGCTCCCAAATGCCCTGGTACGGCTGAGAGTGGGGAGATTCAGCTCTCTCGAAATGCTCTCACATGGCCACGTGTATACAACCACTACCAGGGAAGTCCTACTCACTGCCTTCTCGCGGCGAGGGTGTTGCTTACGAAATTGAGAGGACGAAAAACGAATGTCCGGTGCTTTAACTGGGTTGGTGGACACAGAGAGTCCACCAAGGAGAGTTGGAAAACCCTTATTCCAAACCAATGGTGCACATGGGACCCAGGATCGTGGAAAAACAAATGTTGTATTAACCAATCGTTGGTCATCGGCCACCATGGGACTGCACCTCCCGACGTCGCTCTACTGCCTTGTGAATCAGATCTTTAGGTCGAAGGCTCGGGGTGTGGCCCCCTAAGAAAACCACCTACTTCGGTTTGGGCACCCGGGCAGTACCACAGCCCTCACACAAATCGGATGATTCATATGGCGCATATCTATTTGGTGCCTCATTGTACCAATGTTTATGTTTTTAAATAAATAAATAACATTTATACTTGTTTCAAGACATAAGTACACCAAGTTACTACATCTTAAGTTTGACGGAAATGTTGTGGTTTTGCGTTTAATGATTTAAAAAACGGTTGTTAAAATAAATAGAATGTTTTTGTCTTTTCAAATTTATTTCACTGGATTATACTCCTTGAATAACATCTTCAAACCGTAATGTTTCCGATTACTGTTTATACTCTTGTTACCTCTTCCACTATGGGATTTGAGTCGACAATTGTATCTCTGTGCTAATGTGGTACGGTAACTTGAACTGATGTATGTACGTACGAAGTTCTGCGTTGTTGACTAGGTGACTGAGATGAAATACGATAATACGATGTGGCCGTGATAACTACTTACAATATCGTATTACTAACTAAAGCCTACAAATGAACTGATTTCAAAGACAAGGCATTATACAGAATAATACATGTTTTATCGAATGAAATAACCTGAGTAGGAGTTATTGACAGAAAAATGAGTTTCGTTAGAAGTCAGTTATAACTCAAGCCATAAGAAGATTTAGAATACGTAGATCACTCAAGCACCATTTTATTTTATTTGAACACATAAATATTGGTACAAGAGTGCGCCAATATATATGCGCCAAACAAAACAATGAGAATTCGAAGAGAAAAAGAACAATAACGAATAGATAAGTGTAAAGTAGTGTAATAATAATAACAGTAATAATAATAGTAGTAATGGGGGAAACGGAAAGGTACAATCAGAAGAAATCTTTCAGTTAAGGAAGACACAACCACTTTTTATGAAGAAAGTAAAAGAAGGGTACAGCAGGATCGCCACTGGCTTCTATTCTGAGCAATATCTGATAACGTCTCTAGCCACTGTGTAGCACCATCTCTCGGACCCCAACCAGGGAGTCGTGAAGGACCAACACAAGCCAGTCCTTTGCAGCTTTCCTTCATACCACGACACCATGTCATGCACTGACCACCTCTCTGCTTCTTCCAACCAGTCCCAGAGTCGGCAAATAATGCACGACGTGGAATTCTCTGGGACGACATTCGTAGAACATGTCCAAGCCACCGAAGTCGGTGTTTCAAGATGGTGACATCGATTGCATTATCATCTCTGTGCCCGAACACATGATGCCAAACCTCTGCATTACTCAAGCACTAAGGAAATTAAGACCTGACTATCAACCTTAATGATTGAAAATCTATATTGGATTCGTGAATAAATGATGCCATATACTGCAAATCCAACTATTCACGGTAGAATACTAATATTCCGTTGCCGACTTCGATCATTAGGCATCGATTGTGACTAAATAAAGCCATAGATCCTTATGCTTTACTATCAATCAAGACGAAAGCAATCAAGAAATAGTAATTTTATGACGAATTAAAACACAACTCAATCCGCCTGTTTTTTCATAATTAAGGGATTGACCTGAAAGCAGCTTCGAAAGTATTTGGTCACAAATTTGCAACCGGTAGTTCAGTAACGGGGAATGGTGATGAAATTGTAATTCAAGGAGATGTAAAAGACGAGCTAATTAATGTATTAATAGAAAAATGGCCAGAAGTGAGTTACTTTTCTTATTCTGTTCGTCATTTCTTTCATGCTTATAGTGTATATTTTTCATTTTGTTTACATGCTTAAATTCTTAGCTGTCTTTGGTTCCAGTAATACAGCTCTAATAATTATATATATCAGAACTACATATTCCCGTTCGTTCAACAGCCTTGCTGCCTAAATTAACAAAGATTTGAGTTGTTGGAAATTAGAATACACTGTTAAATGCATAGATTGGAATTTTCGGGTTCGGACGGTTAACAGTTGGAGAATAAGAATTTGAATAGAATATATAAATGATAAGTTTATCAACAGAAATAATGATTATGATTAAAGGGGAAAGACAAAAAGAGGCTGCCGATAAATAGAAGGTTGTTTTGTTCTGTCGTAAATATGCAACCAGATAACTTTCTGGTTATTCATCTCGTGAAATTTAGTATCTTTCTTACATAAATACCTAAAGTATGAAAAGGGATGATTATTCTCTTAGCTAATGGGATGTCTGCTTAAAGTATCAGTCTTATGTAGTCATTTTAAAAGTGATGGTAGTTGAGGTTATTACTTTCCCTTAATGCTTTTTACTATTGCCTACAAGGAATTCTAAACCATTATATTCGGTTAATTTTTTCAGTCATATGAGGAATTAATTTCATTAGGATTTGTCAAGCTTAGTGGTTAAATCATCCGACTTTTAACCACTAAGACAGTTCAGATGCCTCTGTCATCTAGTTCGGGTACACCAGTCGAACATTATTTCTACTTCTCACGTTAAGAACGAACTAGTACTTGATAAATGAATTACATTAGGTTAAGCTCATCGCAGACGATATACATCAAGGACAGGTGCCCATTGTTACTTATGAGTTTATATATAATGGTGGTATTCTTTACTGACTGTTTTCAGTTAGAGCAATGTAGAAAACCAATTGAAAAAGACCCATACTATAATCATACCCTTTCGTGACTTGTTTCGAGATGGAGTTATGAATTATTGGTGAGACGTTATGACCGGTGGAATTCAAACATGTCGGGAGTAAAACAGTACTCATCAACGGCATTGGATGATTGTTGCATTGTATCACGAATTGATCGGAGTTAAAAATACATACCATTGGGAGTTGACCGAGTGGTAGGTCGCTCACTGAGAATTCTGAAAGTTCTGATTTCGATCCCTGGTAATATCGTGGGTGCGCAGTGCTGAGGGGTTCCACGCCAGGGCGAAACAACTGGCGAGCCCCACTGGTTTTATAGTTCCGCAGCTGAGATCAATCTTCGATGTATACCACTTTGGAACTAAACATATCTATACAAAACCTATCCAACAATATTTTTATTTACCACTTTAATCTAAGTTTTGGTGCCCTCATTCTTTTACTTGCTGACTATGAAGTTCAAACGATTTATTTTTGTCTTGTAGATTGATAAAGACGTAATAGAGAATCTCGGGGAAATGAAACGATAGACCAAATTCGTTATTTTGGTGTACAGTGTTGTAATTAATTTTCTTGCTTTGAAAATACAACCCTTTATATTGTTGAACTGCAATGTTTTTGTAACAGTCCACTTAGTATTTATAATCTATCATGGTTTACATCAGTTGTATTAATGTATTTATCTAACATGAAGTGTGTGAATTGAGACACCAAAACATTCAACACACAATCCGACCTTGGGAACATGAGCATCTTATTGTTTTCTTAGATCCATATATCTGCTACTTGATAAAGTCAAAAAACATTAAGTTACTTAATGTTCATAATCCTTACCCAAGAAGTAGTGTTTCATAGATCCATATCGCAAAGCAACTATTCTCTTATATGTTTTTATTCAGTTCATCATGGAATGGTTGATATAAGAGCTAATTTATAAAACACCTCTGAGTCACCGAATTCGCTGTTCGCATCGAAAACACCCGGACAAATGATAGTCTCTACTATGCTTAGACAGGCTAATAATTTTCAGCATTACTTAGATAATGTTACTGCCAGAAAACAAGCAGTATTGTTTTAGTAGCAGAATCTGAATGGAAAACTTCCTGACTTCCTTAACCTATGGGAGGTTAATTTTCACAATTATAGTATTGCTACTCATATTAAAACGTTGTACGTTTAGCCCTTAATAATCATGATTCATCATCACTAGATGTGGTCTTTACCGAGGCACTGGAATCAATCTTGTCTCCCACACCAGCAACTTCCCTATCAGGTTGCCTATCCAGATATCTGAGCTCAGTCATTTACAACACCACATCTGCAAGAATAAATGTATGTGCATGCTCTTCACTGTTCTTCCGCTGATGAAATTAACTAAATCTCTACAAACCACTACTACTTGAAATCCTAACTATGGAAATTTAATTTTCCCGTGTAATAATCACTAAACAAAAGCCATGATGAATAAACGAAAGTATTTTAAGTAGCTTAAAATGCTTTTTTTTCCTTTCAAGTATTATAGCATAATGAGACATATAACCAACAGGGAATAGTGAGCTTTTTGCACCGACTCAAAATACAGGATCTGACATCACTGAATAATATGTTACCTAGATATAAAGTCAGGAAATTATGAGAATTATTTACAAATTAACTTGTAGATTATTAGTTGGCAATAATAATTACACCCTAGTGTTTGCAAAATTCTGTTATCCAGATATTCATTATTGAGAGTCCATAATGAATATAATTTCTTTCATGACTTTGAGAAGTTTATTAGTAAAAGTTACTGGCAAAAGAACATTACAGTCATAACCATAAAGTATAAAAATGATTTAGATTTTAAGTTTCGTACTTATACGGTTAAGTTCTCAGTTCTCTTTTCTTTTTAAGTAAATGTTGGTCATTTGTCTTTAAATTTCTTTTGATATTATTTATTCATTTCCATGGGATGTAATTTTGTTTATTTATTCAATCTAATTGAATATTTAAAACTTTAATCAACTTGAGGATTATTGTAAAACAAATATTCAGCCTGAAATTTAAAAAAAAGTCAGAAAAGAAATGTTAGTTTTTCGTAGTGGAGAAGATTTGTAGCTCAGGTGGATGATTTTGGTGGAGTTTAGTTCTCTGAGCTGGATGGTTTGGTCGTGGAGCTTTCATCGTCCTTCTGAACGACATCATCATAGATTTCATAGATTTAGTTACGGTGATAGTTTTAAACAGGTTAGGTGTAACATTATGAATAAATGTGTATTCTATTTTAAGACTCCTTATCAACTCCAAATTATCTAATTTTATGGATAGGAATATGATTAAAAACAAAAGTTTAACATAATTTAGTTGATAAAATTGGGATGCAATTCTGAAATGAGATAGAATTATAAAATGATAAATTATGATAGTTGAAAGTGACACACTATTAATAGGTTGACAATGATTCGCATATTAGAAAACAGATTATCATATAGTTAGATTATATGGTTGCGGTAAATTTAGCTTATCAATGTCAGCTGGAAAACCAAGGGTTACGTAATATTTTATTTTGTATGTCACAAACTAAATGATGTTAGGCAGTTATTAAAAATCAGGAATCACTGAACAAGTTTCGTTCTAGGATGAGACCCTTCAGTAGTATCCATCCTTGACCCCACTGAGAGTCGAACGTAGGCCCTTCAGGTCTGTGAGAGCGCTTGTCAGTCAGTCAGCTACAACGTAGGACCAGGCACATATATGCATCGGTCCAAGTTGCCATACCTCATTAACACAACAAGATGGACACCGGATTCATAAAAGTAGTTAATTCAGAGGTGGTAATATATAAAAGAAAGATTGCAATAAGGACATAGTACAGGAAGAAAGAAAGATACGAAGCGATTTTAATCTCTTAGTTTAAGGGAAGACAGTGTATGCGAGCGCTTGACCTTTAGATCATTAAATCGCCATCCAGTCTTCTACACTTCAAACTTCTTTATGAAGTAGTTGGAATTAGTTTGTCACAGTTAACTCTGATTTCCTTCTCTTTACATAAATGCTTGGTACAATCACCACTCAAAGTAAGTTCAATTTTAATCAGTAATTGTTACCAAACGACCTCACTTGTTGTTTTTACTAATCACTGATGCCTTATTTAGTGTACATCTGGATGTTCATAACAGCTCTTGAAGAATCTACGTTTTGTTTGTCTGCCTGATAATTGGGGATCGACTAACGCCTTGATTTTTCTAAGTGTTGAGTTTTTTATCTCTAGTTTGGGTATCATTCTTAAGCTTGTTGATTATTCGAAATACAATATCCTCGTCATTTTCGTAATGGAATCTTGATTCTATACTATTTGACAAAGTGGATTAACATTGTCGTGATGACTAACTATTAAGGAGTAGTCGTGGACTGTTTGTTTTGGAATCAAATCGATGACCAAATAACCGCTGTACGACCAACTGACTTCCCCCCCACTGAATTGATTTTATTCTAGTCATGTCGATTAATTATATAATCAATCATTTTGGTTATTCGTATTATTATTTGCGACCCCATTTATTTTATTTTATACTGCTATATTTCTTATATGAATGTACATCAATCACTTGTTTCCACCAATATTTATTAATTGTAAATTTTAATTGCTGAAAAATTCCCATTATATTAAAAACACAATTGTATGAACGAAGAATATTCTTTTCAATAATTTCTCATCAGGTTCTACAATTATAAATCCAGATTAATAATCCATAAAATTGGCCAGATTTAAGGCAAAATACATCATCATTTGGAAATTGTAATATGTAAATCAGGAATTGTTTGTTATATAAAATAAAATCGTTAATGTTGGGGCTGACTAATACGAAGTGTTAACTTGAATCAGTTTATAAGTGAAATGAAATTGTGAGATAAATTATCAGAATAAATATGGTCAACATGGGGTAAGAGAGAGAGAGAGAGAATATTGTGATTACAAATCGGAAATTGCGTAATATGTAAAATAATTAGGTCAAATATAGTAGATTCAGGGGTGGATATTGAATAAATTACTCCAAAGGGGGTTATCAAGTGTAAAGACAATAATAATAATAATAATAACAGTAATAACAATAGTAATAATAATAAGTTTGGGACATAAAATGAACATTAATCAGATTACGTCACCACATTTTAAGATTGGTTATTAGCTAGTTGGCCAGGGTAAAAGGAGTGGCTGAACATACTTCTTTTGGATACAAAGCTCTGGCTTTTTGATCCGAATAGCAATTGCTTCAGCCGTCTGTAGGATTCGCAGTCTGATGGAATTAGGTAGACTGCTGTTGACACGATAAACTATTGCAAAAGATTGCTCCATGTTGGCTGTATGTCCTGTTTGGACTAAATGGTCTAAGATGGAGCTGTTAACAGTTTTGACAACACCTTTGCTTAACCACACGGGTAGGTGCTCACGAGCCCGAATGCACAAATTCCTAGAACATCTGCCAATATAACTTGCTCCACAGGAGCAGTTGAATTGATAGATACAGAAGGAGGTGGCTAGTCTAGGTAATTTATCTTTCAACCTCGGAGTGATTATTGGTCGTGTGGAAAATACTAGTTGTAGTTTAGCTGCGTTAAAAGTCCTTTGAATTGATCTACTTAACTTAAGTCTTAACATTTCACTCGGCGCAATTTCCGATTTGTAATCACAATATTCTCTCTCTCTCTCTTACCCCATGTTGACCATATTTATTCTGATAATTTATCTCACAATTTCATTTCACTTATAAACTGATTCAAGTTAACACTTCGTATTAGTCAGCCCCAACATTAACGATTTTATTTTATATAACAAACAATTCCTGATTTACATATTACAATTTCCAAATGATGATGTATTTTGCCTTAAATCTGGCCAATTTTATGGATTATTAATCTGGATTTATAATTGTAGAACCTGATGAGAAATTGTAAATTTAGTTTGTGTTTGAAGAATTATTTGTACAGTAGATTTCAAAGCACTACTAATCTCCGGTTTATTAGTGTAAAAAATTTGATATGTAATTTAGAACAAGGTTTTCATGTTAGTTTGTTGCTGTTCAAACTGTTGTTCACATCGAAAACATGGGAAAAATTACGCCTGGAAGAAAACGGCACTAACCTAGTCAAAATGCTACAGTAGGCCATGATACAACAGATTGGCATCTAAGTATTGTAATGTTTTACTGTTTGGGGATCAAAGTTCATTATAAAAGGTAATTCCAGTCATAAAACTTCAAAACAAGACCTCCCTAGTTGTAATTTTAATACCCCGTCAGCCGATCTTAGTTACAGCTGATTAAACTTAATTGGGTATTTAGAAGAAATTCCAGTCGTGGACAAAGCTGAGATAATGGTACGAGTATTACTGAAAATGTTTGTGTAGAAATCATTTGTAGCATAGAAATACCTAATGCTTAATTTTGGTTCAATTGAGGTGAGTAGTGCTGTTACGTCGAAAGATATCATCAGTTCGTCGTTGTTGACTTAAATGTCTTTAATTTGGTCCAGGAATTGACCAAACTAAAGACATTCAAAATACCTAATGCTCAATTTACTTGAGATTATAAATTCAGGCCTTGATAATT